GACTGTTGCACTTGGCTTGAAATAAGAGATGAAGCCTTCCTGGCCAAAACTGAAGTGATTATCCATAATCAGTCTTCACTGCAAAAGCATAACGTATACGGGGTTCATATTCAACTTACGTAGAGGCAATGATGGCAGAATCGTAGCCGTAGAGCATACTACCAGAGCCAGCAATGCCAGCACATACCCAATTGTACACTTTCCCCATTATGTAAATCGTTTATTAGATATATCCAAGAACGAAGAAAGGTCTGATAGCAGATGTTTAGGCAGGACCAGAATGTATGGCAAAACTAACATGGGGGACTGCTGTGATATACTACATTTGCTGGGGCTAGGCCATCCGCTAGTAGGACCTGGGGCACTAACATTGGGGACCCCAGTATTCCATCTAATCTCATACATCCGCATTTCGGTCATTACCAAGTAGTAGAATCCGAGTTAGCCTCAGACCGCGAAGGACTTCCGTTTACAAAAAAGAAGCGAGTTCTATTTTCGGCATATTTTTTGGATTATATCTCTGTTTTCGGGAAGACATCGGGCTTTGCATGAGCTTGCTAGTATACATTGTGGTGCTGATAATACTGAATATGTAAGTATTCTAGTATTAAGCTTAATTGATTTAGGGCGGTGTAGTAACACTTCTTGATACCTAGTTATAATTGCCAAATATGATAAGGAATAGTATTCAGCGTTGTATGGAGTGATGGCTAACCTGCTTCGCAAGACAGACCGTTGCGTTTATCAGAGCTTGTTCACTATCCTCCGAACAGCTATTGGGAGGCCAGGGGGGTTCCCTGCATGGAGTCAGGATTTGTCTCTGGGGTTTGCAAAGGTGGGATGAATGTCTGGTTCGCAAAGATGGGATTGACCTGAGGAATGCGCTCGGTCTATCTTAAGTCATGGCTGAAGAACAAGATGTGATTCATGGGTACCTCAGCGTGCCTAGGTGCATAAAGCCACAAATGCTGTCCGTCTTCGCGTCAAACTCGGGTCGATCATTGCTTAAATTGTACGGTGTAAAAGTCTGCCAATGTTTCCCTAGTCAGCAAGCGCCTTTGTTCGGGCGAATTATGAGTAAGACTGGAGTGAAGCTCGTTAACATACGCATTACCCCACGTTACCCCATATACCACGGGCTTGGGAATGCCACGAGGTATAGTGCATTAGTGTACTTGTAGCAAGGTTTGCATTGACCTTCACCAGCGTCATTCATAGGCTAGCTTCTGACCCTAAAGCAAACCCCAATGCGGGGTAACATCGGATACAAGGACAGGACCTAGGAATATGAAAACTCCGTCCTAGTTTAGAGTCTGTACATATCGCAAAACTGAGAGATGTTACGATCTGGAAATAGACGAACGAAGAGTTTCGGCCTCCTAGACGGGTGAACGTGAACCTTTGAAGTGATTATACAGTTAACCAACCACGTATGTTACTATGTTATAACCCTCAGAGAGTGACTAATAGCAGTCACTGACTTATATAGATTTGATAATAGAGTCTTGATTCTTAGATAGAAAAAGTATGATCATAATTTAGATAAAGGGTATTCTTATTTGGCTATATAAGTGCCAACCCTTTCAAGTTCACCTCTTGATGCATATACATTCTCCAATAAATACATATCACTGCGCACTAAAACCGCCATCGACCTAAGGCTCATCAGAAACTCGGAATTGCAGAACCCAATAGGTGACGGAGAGATCCATGCTTACCATCATTGTAGTACCTGTGATATAACTTGCGCGGTCACTCGCCAGAAATGTTACCGCGTCAGCAACTTCTTGAGGATGAGCCAGACGGCCCATGGGTGTTTTTTTAATACTTGGATCCAGCTGCAGCGAATGTTAGTCTTTCGAGATAGTTTCAGTGTTTCCTATAATAGTTAATCTATTAGATACTAACTAGGGTACTTACCAGTTCTCTGATTGCGGGCGTGACCAGCGGAGTGTTCACAAATCTATGTTGATTTTCAGCGTGGCGAAAGCTTCCGGAGTAATATTCTTACCCAGGACAGACAGCATTAACGCGAATTCCTTTCTTGGCATAATCTATGCCATCTGTTTTGACTAGGCCGACAACAGCTTTTGGAACAGTAGTCAGTTAACATGCCTGAGAGCAAAGCATTTTGGAAATAAATATTGGTTACCATGCTTTGATATTGTATATAGCCCATCTTCAGCCAAGCCCCTAACCCCAAGAAGTGAGTCTACCATGATTATTGAGCCACGAGAGCTGACCCTTCCAGGCCTGCCACCTGATGTGAGCACATAGAATACTACCAGGGGAAAATGATACTGCTTACAGTTGCCCGGGTGTTTGCAAAGGCTCCTGCTTTAGCATTTGGCGCAATTCAGCCCGCTCACAAAACCACGTGCCTCTAAGATTGATCCCAAGTACTTTATCGAAATCCGCAGTTGTCGACTCGTGAGTCAACTTGAAGGGGGATGCGATTGCCGCATTGTTGACTGCATAATCCAGCCGACCAAATGTCGCTACCGTCTTTTGAATTGCCTCTTCTACCTGCTCTTCGCTCGAGAGATCGCTGACCAATTTCAAGAACTGGACTCCTGGGAACTGTTGATGTAGCTCGATTTCTGTGGCATCTAGTCCCTTTGCTGATATATCCAGGCCTGCAATCTTCGTAGCGCCGTCCCGGGCAAATTGGAGCACGCAGGCGCAGCCAATGCTCCCACCAGCGCCGGTTATAAACGCAACTCTGTTGTTGTACTTAGAAACCATCTTTCAGATGGATGTGTGGAATTGAGACTACTAACCCGGATAATTCCAAGGCCATGGTGGATGAAACTGCGAGTATTTATGGTATATTTGTCGGATAATTACTTTACAGGTAGAGTTTAAATAAGTAACCATATAAATAATTTATTTAAAATCTATTATCTCGTACCTTATATTGAGACTGTTATGCTTTCGCTAGGTAATTTGGTAATTTCCTCTAATTATTCCCGAAGAAGAAGCGAATTTAGGCCGTAGCGAATTATATATTACATTTATTATCAACCAATGATTACTATTACTATCGCTATCATCATCATAATCATCTTCGTGCAGCATCCACTGTTCCATCCCTTCATTAGGATACTTATCTTTCCCACCTGCTCTCTTGACTAGCATCTTGACAAGTCTTATCAACTCCTCCTCATCTTCCTCGTTTTTGCTCCATAAGTTCTCACAATCCTCCCAAGGACGAGGTGGGAGTCCATGAAATCAGAAGATTCGCCATCCCTAGTATAAGAAAGGGGTTCAGGGCCGAGGTAGGATAACCTAGAACACAGCGAGAGATGTTCAAAAACAGATGCCCAGGTCCCAGCTGTCAAATCAACGCGGTAGAGAAGAACTTTCGAAAGTAACGACGATTGAAGAACCATTCCTTCGCCAGGAGATAGAAGTTTGATGAGGTTTTCGGAGCTAATCTTGATGCGAAAGAGCTCAACAGTCTGCAAACTGAACGATGCTGGTGTCCAGTGCAAAAGATTGCCGTCCAAGAATTGTGTTCCAGCAATGCGGAGGTGTTGCAGATTGCCACACTTCTCCACGATAGTGAAAAGGATGTGTGCGTGCACAACATTTGGATACTGCTGTTGAAGACTGGAGAGAGGAAATCCACCCTGATTATCATCATCCTCGTCAGCCCATACAACATATTTTTCTTTGGATCCTCCTGGTCCTGTAGCGTCTGTGATTTGCATATCTAAATACCGAAGTCCCGAAAAGACTGCCACAGGAACTATGTTGAAGATTTTAACAAAATCGTGTGTACATGGAAGTGCGAGCTGGAGGCTGGTCAAGAGTGAGAGAGCCGATATTCCGGTCGCAATGTTGTGTATAGTCGATGCCAATAGCTGGAGGTCAATCTCAGGAGTTGGTCCTGGTCCGAAACCATCGTACTTATTCTCCAACCAGGCGAGATTGAAACCAAAATGCTCTAGCTTCAACAAGTTTCCCAGCGCGACGGGAAGTTTCCCTAAGATCTCTCGATATTCTTGACGTTCTTTCTCTTCGCTTCCTGCTGGCCCTCCCGAAACAGTTAAAAGCTCGCTGCCATAACGAGAAAAGGAGACCTGAAGATTTTTGATTGACGGAAGCAAGCCGTATGTTGGTGTAGTAAAATCGGGGCCAATCGCTTTGTTCAAGTCCCAAAAATGCGACGAGGGCACTGGTTCATAGATTTGACAAGGCCATTGAATAATACCAGACTTGAAAAGGCCTCGAGTTGCTGCCTCACTGAAGAGCTTTGAAGTCAATCGAAGATTTCGTAAATCCGCAATATCACTGGTTACACCCGAGGAAGAATTGAGCGGGCGGTTCCCAAAACCTGTGCTTTGACGACTGTCTGGTAATCGGAAGTGAGATACAATCTGGTCATCAATGTCAGCTCAGGCCGTTGAGGATGCTGCTTATAGAGAAGCACATAGAAGTAATTACCTCTGCATACACTTCTGGGGGTATCTCGATCATCTTTGGGTCTCTCGTGTTTGTCGATTGCTTGGTGTTGCAAACCTCTGGGTTACTTTGCAGATAATAAGTAGCAAGGAAATTCTTTTCTCAAATGCGCCAGAGGGGGGCTAATCTGTTCCGGTTCATTTGTGAATATAATAGATTCATAAATATCCTAATTCATGAGTGAATCTTAGCGCATTCATGAGTGAATATTAGTGTCATTCACGAATAAACTGGCTAGATTCATGAATGAACCAGAACAAATCTAAGCCTGGATATTCGGCACTAGGGCATGTGAATATGGCCTATCCGTTTGCACCAATACTGAAATATCTTCATCGATTCCATTAGGTGGCGATTCCATATTACAAGTATGTACATTCACATGTTCTATGTCGCAGTAGACAAAACCTACTAGGTAGTAGGTAAATTAGTTCGCAGGTGATCTTCAAGTTTCCAGATCCGTGACCATAAATCAGTTAAAATCATAGGGGAATAGGGGTATAGTAAATCTAGATTCTAGCCATCAGTGCCATTTATCCTTCTAACAATTCAATAATTTCTTTGTAACCCTTTTCCTCCGCTACATCTAATGCAATGTCCCCAAACTTGTTTGCGAGCATCTTGTCAGCCTTATTATCCAGCAAGACCTTTACAACTTTATCCTGCTTCTTCCCAGCAGCCAAGATTAAAGGCGTATCTTCATTCACTCCACTCTTAATGTTAGGATCTCCTCCAGCGCGAATGAGTCCACGAACAACACTATCGTACCCCCTTTCAGCCGCAGTTGGCAATGGAAGCCGTCCCATCTCATCTCCAAGATCTATCTTGGCTCCTCGCCGGACCAGCAACTGAGCAGCTTGGACGTGACCATTCAGAATTGTCAGGAGCAGTGGTGTGGCACCTTTTGGCGACCCAGTCAGCTCGGCAGAGTTGATATCGGCTCCTCCTGCGAGAACTTGAACAATCGCCTCGCGATCTCCGGTTCTACAAGCATACCGTAATCCACTGTTGAGCCAGTCACTGCGTGCCTTTGTGTCTTCCATTTTAACCTCGAGGAGCAAGGTCATTGCTTTGGGACTCTTGTATTTGATGGAATTCGTTAATGGGCACCAGCCAGCACAGTCTTTAGTTGGATCTGCACCATGCGTGATGAGCAGACTGACCATGTTGATATGATCACACGTAGAAGCTTTATGCAGAGGCCCGTCAGACCCAGTAATATTTGGATCTGCTCCTGAAGCGAGAAGAAGCTCTGCGATTCCAACTCCGCTCTCTTTATGGTCTGCGCCTTTTAAACCGGCCGCATGGCAGAGGGGTGTCAAACCTTGCGTATCCTGAAAGTTTACGTCTACCCCTGCAGAGCAGAGACGCTTGACGATGTCGAGGTGTCCGGAAGAAGATGCTTGAATAAGAGCTTCTTGCCCTTCTGCGGGATCCTCCTTGATAACACCGTGTTCAAGAAGAAAGTTCACCATATCCAAATATCCTTTCATGGCTGAGTTATGTAGCGGTGTCCGACCGTATCCATTTTTGCTATTCAGTTTTGGCTCACGTCTATTCAATAACAGATGCATTATATCCAGGCTTCCCTTCTCACCTGCAGCATCATAGGCCGCCTGAATATCGACTGGTTTGAATATTTGGCTGTTCTGGTCTTCGTGGTCTAGCAGTAGGCGACATATTGATGTGTGACCACCACTAGCCGCCCAATATATTGGCTTGCGAACTTGCAAGGGTGGATTCGGGTTTGCACCTCTTTCTAGGAGAAATTCAACAGCTTCATCGAGTCCAAAAAGTGCACACCTGTGCAGACATGGCCATTCATTCCAGATTAGACTGTCGACATCAGCTCCTTGGTTCACTAGATCTTTTATTCGCTCGACACTTTGGTCTTGAACCGCTTTGGTAAGAAGAGAGTTCAGGTGGAGTTGGTCCTCAATGGTTAAGAACAGTGGAACTCGGATGATATCGCCTAGGCCACTCTTGTCCTCACTGCGAGTGATGAACATTATACCACCGTATCCACGAGTCGGTAGCACTTCCATGATATCATTGTATAGAGCAGTTGGTTCATAGTTGTCGAGTACAAGCAGCCATGGATGCCATAGGTCGTCAAGAAATGCTCTGACAAAGCTGACTTTATGCTTTCGTGTCCCGGACGTCGATCGTTGAATGGTGGCATAAATGCTCTCAAACCCCAGCAGGAGACTCTCCAATGTAGAGGCATCCAGCCAGAATACGGTTCGAAATTCATCCCTTGCTTTCGTAGCATGGCAATAAGCAACTGCAAGCTGCGTCTTCCCAACTCCTTCTGGGCCTGAAAGGGTGACAATGGTGGGCTCTTTGACCTGAGATCTTGATGCATCGTAAAGACAGCCTTCTATTTCTTTTGTCAAACGACTACGCTCGGAGAATGTAGCCACCAGTTGCTCTCGCACATCGAAAAACGAATCCTCAGCGGTCACAGGAGGCATATCGGTAGAATCGACCACGTGGTGTAAGATCAACACAGAGATATACGTGTTGAGGTTCCGTTCGACTGCCCATATCTTCTCATCGTATTTGAGACCATTGAAAACTTTCTTAATCTTGGTTTTAAAGTTTTCACCGGGAGAACGAGAGAGCTCATTGATCATCGTTTCTATCTCAGCAACCTGGCCATGGCAGCCAGAAACGACCCCTCGTAAGATGCACTTAGTGTCCACATCCAAAGTTTTGACTTCCGAATCGGTCTTGATTCTTTTGAGAGCATCGAGGAGAAGTGGCAATTGAGTACTAATAGCTTGCAGTGACCTAGGAACTTCGCCGGGATGTGCTTTGTTCAACTCGTCAAGACGTTTGACGACTAGGAAACCGAATTGGACAAATTGCACAACAGCTGATGCGATACCAATGGCACTGACCGGATCCATGGTGAAGGAAAGGATGAGTGGAGTGGGTGGTTTTGGAGATGAAATGAGATGATTCCACGGCTTGTATAAAAGTTTAGAGCTCCACGAGCGGGTAAACGCGTTCTAGCTAGCGGTGCACAAATATTCGGAGGTGTTGAGGTTTGAATCGTTAGGACTTGGAAAACAGAATGCGATTATCCAACATCAGGTGCTATAGAGTGCGAAGCTTTTGTGTCTCGGAGAATTTGTGTTCACAGTAGTGGCTGCGAAAGTGAAAGCCCCCTTTGGAGTCTACAGACTCTCAGGGGCGGCTCAGCCGCACCGCGCTACTATAGGTGTCAACCGCGTTGGTTATGTCCACGCATTATAGTCTACATAGTTTGGAGTGTACATAGCCTCTTCTCGAACCCAGAAAGTAACATTCAAGAGATCCAACATTGGAACAAAGCACGGTAAGGATTATATCGAAATGGTGGATTTCGCTGATCATCCACGTGACTACAATTTTACGCTACTTACTCGTATTTCCTCATCCGGAAGGTGTGGTATTTCAGATCAGACTTTCTCGATTTTCTAAACTAACGTTCACCCGCACCATATTCTCGTGTTTTCCAGAATCGCCTCATTACAGAGAAAGGAGCTAAGTTGCATCGAAGGACGTCATAGATCGAGACCATATCAAGTATGTGGGACAAGCTTTCCGATCGGCATTTTCGGTCCAATATCACGTTGGAGAGCTGAATTCTGTTAGTAGGGAGATCTCGAGTCTGTCAAGCTTACTTCCGTTATTGCATTCTCACAAGATCCTGAGAGTGAAAGAACGTGGTAATAAATGGCTAGCTAGGATCCCCGTATATCCCGGCCAGCTAAGCCAAATTGCAATCGTCGTCTCAACACGAAGCAACGTTCAATGTTCTGGTTTAAAAATAACCTTCTGCACTCGCATATTATTGAAAACCTCATAGCCTTCCACTGCCTATTATTATAATTAGCGCTAGAATATGTGCTTGATGAAGGATGACTGGCCTGGCTGAGGGGCATAATTTTATCTGTCATAAAGCTAATAACTGTCAGAGCCGTGACTAAATATCCGTGTATAATGACTTACTCAAGCAAATGTTGCTTCTTTTTCAACAGCTCAAGTGCTTCTGGAAATATGCCTGTGTGTGTTAGCCAAGCTGATCTAAAATTTGGATTTGCACATACTCCGGACCGGACATCGTCCCATCTGAATCCTTAAGTTCTTTCCATAGGCCTCGTTTCCGTTGAACGGTAGGTTTTCATTGTGTACCCCAAAGCTGGAAATGTTACCCCATGGTCGAAGGAGATCGAAACCAGTCTTCAAAGCATCAGCGTGGCCAACTCCTTCGATAATAGTATCAGCTCCCCTCCCGTCGGTAAGCTCTTTTACTCTTGCTTCCAAACCAGCTTTGTCTGTCTGATCATTCCAAGGCTCAGCGCCTAGCTTCTTAGCAAGTGCTAATCTACTCTCAACTCTGTCAATAGCAATCACGACCCTAGGTTTATACTCCAGCGCATTGATCAGCGCACAAAGTCCTACAGGTCCGCATCCGATTAAAACAACAACACTTTGGCTGATCGTCTCTTGGTCGAATCCTCGGAACGCGTTGGCTGCCGCAAAAAACCCTGTTGGAAAAATATCTGCCATCAGCACCAACTTCTTCTCATCAATGCCTTCGGGCGCTTTCACGGCGGTTGCATCTGCGTGGGGCACGCGCATAAACTCCGCTTGACCACCGTCCAAGGATGGGGATCCAAAAAGAAGCCCTTTCTCGCATCTAGACGAAAAGCCACGCTGACAGTAAAAACAATCCCCACAGGAGATCGTGAAAGGCATCACAACAGTATCTCCCTTTTTGTGGTTCTTGATAGCGGGTCCGATTTCAACAACTTCGCCGGTGGTTTCGTGTCCCTGCAATTTATAAGAAATGTAATTCACGCACTGAGACATTTCCTTACCATGATAAAGTCTGTTTTGCTCGGTTGATGACCACGGAAAACGTGTAGCTCGCTGCGCAGAATATTAGCTACCGACATGGACGAGTTCTGGGAGTCTTTGGGTTGTACCTTCCACACAATGCCGAGTAGTGGACTTTAATGATGATATCGGTAGGGTCAATAATCTTGGGGACAGGCCGGTCCTCTATTTGGACGTCGAGAGTACCCTTAAACACAACGGCTTTCATTTTAGATTTCGACATGTTAATGAAGGTTTCGCTGAGTGGGGGGTGTTGATCTTTGATATGGGTGGAAAACTGTGAGAGAGAGAAAGAGACACTGGACTAGAAAACGTAGCTAAGGGTCAGAAGGCTACATAATTGTTTAAGCCAAGGATCAGTGTTCGAGAAAAATCTAGGAGATGAATTATCGACGTCGGCGTTAAATGTCGACGAAGCTGGGGGGTGCGGGGTAAATAACTAGCTAGGGTATTAGGAGGCGAGGTGGGGAAGCGACATCGACATCATAAGCGGTTATGCGTGCGGATATATAACCAACCTGCGCTTTTGTTTCATAGGCTGATCACTTGTGAAATTCACCAGACAAGAAGAAATAAAGTATTGAGACTTCTTTTATTAGGTTGAAAAAAAATGAAGCCGTTCAAATGCAGTACTGCCCAGATGATATGCCCCTAGCGAACGATAACTCGGATTTTTCGACGTTGTCAAACCCTGCAACATCCTGCCCTATATCTCACATCTTCGATTGATGAGTCTGGTCTTCAGTTAACAAGCTTTCACGGAATGCTTGTTCAATAAAGCGCCACGAGAATGTCACCACGGATTCGAGCCGTGAGATGGACTTCGGCCTCAAGGTCAAGCTTGATGCCCACAGTGAGGGCTGCATCCTTTAGCTTGCCACTGGCATCAACGGGACCTTTGATGAGATTGCCTGCGGAACTCAGGATTAGCATTTTGACTCTCATGTCTAAGGGGCTTTTGGAGACTCAAACCAAATGGACCGTTAGGTGGGCCAGAAAGACCCGGCATTGGGACTGGTAGACCCTTTGCGCTACCGATGCCACCGATGCCACTTTGGCTGGTTTGAGTCAAATCGGGTGCATTTTTGGTTCTAAGTAATGGTAAGCAAAGATACAATACAAGTATTGAAGAGTATCATTCGGTCTGAATAGTCAAATTCACTTACGGGGAAGACATTTCTGCGGGTTTGGGAGGACCGGGGAAGTTAATTCGAAGGCGGTCCAGTATTGACGCTTAGAGATGGTCAAGTATGGTGTTTTGAAGACAAGTTTGGCGTTGGAAGAGATGCAGATTGGGACTTGCTTGAGGCTGTTTGGCTTTGTTGCTGTGAGTTATACAACAAGAAAGGAGCGATTCTACAGTGGACATATCTCTTACATATACTTCCTTTCACACCTCTTGGAAGCTCTAGAATATCTACATTGCAAAATTTGGCGCATTTCCGCATACGCGCTTGGCAGATTCCTATGCGCGAATCTGCTTACTCGAAACCTTGCCTCTTCCACTTTTCAGAAATCCTTAATATGGAAACTGCAAGAGGTACATAAACACCAACAAAAAATCGTACGAGAAAAGCGTCTTCGAGACCTCGGGTGGCCTGGGTGGCATGGACTATGTCGAGATATATGCTGAGTGGGTCGATGTGGTAGATGCAAAACAGTGAGTATTTCGCGCTGATTATTGTATTTGATCGTCCTACCCCGCCTTTCTGCAAGGTCGGAGCTTGTTGCTTTGTTCTTTTTCACGGTTGAGGGATTTGCAAGCTGCCGATTGAGGCTTGACTATACCTACGCATTCCTTGTCTGCGGGAAAGCCCATTTTACTTGACAGCTTATTATAGGTGCAAATCTATAAGCTTAAGCCGATACAGATATACGCTTCTTTAGATTATATTAGCTATTTACTCTACAGACATCTACCGAGTCCCTTGTTAATATGCATAGAATAATATATGGAGAAGATGCGGGAGATCTACCCGCCCGGATCTACCCGGTCCATTGAGTTGGGACCACTTATATCTGTACCTCCTTCGATCACCCCTGGGGGCCCCAGTCATGTATGTTATGTTATATGCGAGAAAGAAAAGGAAAAACAACATACGATATTAGAATAGACATGTCTCACGTATATTAATCTGTACTTGCCGTCTCTACATGCCGAGACCTTTGTGTAATGTATTCTATGCGAGGTAGAGTGAATTACCTCGTATTTTCTCCCGAGTTGCATATGCGCGGATTAGAAAACGCAATTCGGGCGGCTCGTTCAAGGAGCTTCCTGCTCAACAGCGAGACTTCAAGAATGTGTACAACGAGTTTCGGGCCGCAGCTCAGCCCGTCATATTCCGTGCGCGCGTATTGCAAGTAATTGGGGTCGACGCGAAGGATAGGCTGTATTGGAGGCCGCAGTTCATCAGCCTAGCTTCGCTCGTTATACAGAACAAACATGCGTATATTGATACCCTGAAAACTGACATGGAGGGATCGAAATATGTGGTGATGGATGGATGAGTGTGATAAGATCAGGAGGTAGGCAAGGCAAACTTTCCTTTCTACCTCAAGATAAAATACCCGTAAACCATTCAAGGGAACTTGTCAATATTGGGATCAGGTTATGATTCTCCAATTTCAGTCTGAGCTCCTCAGCTGACTGTGAGACCTACATATCCTTGAAACGTATCTTCATTCGTTGCTTTCACTTCAAGCGCCATATGTGCCGAAGTGTCAAGTTACCGCTCCCCCATTTTCCCACCCCACACTCGGACGTAAGACGTACAGCAGCCACGTCAATTCCGAGGGACATGGATGGACCTGCTGGGTTCGACATACTGCTCGGCTCAAGGGAGCTTATGAAGTGGGCCTTGCCTAATCTCTCTCTATATCTCCTTCTCTAAGGCAACGCATCGTATCTGCATCTGAGTAGCTCAGCAACCTGACATGGCTTCCATTATTTCTGTCCTGGTAGGTATGTCCGCCATCTTTGGTACAGCTGAGGCCATCAAGGAAACGCGCTCCAAGGCTCGCCGGAGTGAGCACCGCAGTCGGAAATGTAATCTGATCTTGCACTGCCCGAAGTCTTCACAGTATAGCCCTCTGCTCGAGAACCGGCGAGTCGTACTCTCTGGTGATAAGGTGAGTCTTTTCCTATGCATGGTCAATTCGTCTCCAGACTGTCCTTGATGGACTCCCTTTCCAAATTCCCCGTTGCAAGAAACCCCTATTCCTCCAGCCTTACAACTTGGTACTAACACTACCAGCTCTACATCGACACCAACACTTGTATTGACACCCCTTTCGGCCATCCTTTCGCTGGCTATTATCACCCCTACCCAGACACGCCCTACTCGGGCCTAATCTCCAGTATCTCAGATGATCCCCCTGTAATGAATTGGATCTACGTGGACCGTGATACGTACGAGCTGAAATTTGGCGCACGGCCATACGCGGAACACAACTTCAAAGGGCCTTGGGATTGTACGCGACAGGAACGGAGACTTACGTTCGGGGGCTGGGAAGGATTTTGCGTGGTATTGGAGGAAAGTGGGTTTTGGGGGTTGTATTTTGATATTGATCAGAATGCACTGAGTGAGAAGGCGGCTGGGAGAGTGGTAATTGAGGTTGAGTTGATACGGGGGGAGATCAGGGGTGCGCCTAGAGTTAAGAAGGATGATGTGGGAGTGGGAAAGGCCGAGCCGGGAGAAGCTGGAAAAGAAGAAATTGGAAAAGAAGAGATTGGAAAAGAAGAGGTAGGAAAAGAAGAAGTTGGAAAAGAAGAAGTTGAAAAGGAAGAAGTTGAAAAGTTAGGAGTCAGAAACGGAGAGGGGGAGGTGGATAAAGTTGAAATTGATCAAGAAACTCCAAGGAGGATCAAGGTCGATGCAGAGGCTTCTGGGAATGTAGAATGTAAGATGGGAGAAGATGGGACAGTAGAGGTTGAGAAAGTGAAGTCTGTTGAGTAAAGGATTAGTATTACAGATATTTATCAGTACCTGAGTTTCCCTGGATATAATACCACTAAAACCGAGTCCGGAATTTCGGTCACCTTAATATAAATGTCTGTAATATGAAACACTTCGCCGTAACTGTGCCGTACGTCTAAGGATCCTACATCCTACATCTAACTGTCTTGGCAGTCCGAACTCCGAAATCCATTACTAGTAATTTACGTACATATTCCCCTACTATATTCCATATACTAACTTTTGATAATTATAGGCTCGGAATTGCCGTTGTTCCTTCGGTTACTGAGCTAAGCTCCTTGACCTGGTTTAAAGCCTGTTATTTCACATATATAATTTCTTAATTGTGGTGCTGATATGACTATGCCTTTCATAGCCATGAAAAGCTACGACTTTTAGAAAAGTAGAAGAAGCTTTGGGCTTCTTGTCATGTTTCTATCTTATGTTCAGTTCCAGTCAATTGAAGATGTTGTTTTCACTCACTTTTCCACTCTTGGCCCTAGGTGCCCTACTTCCCAATGCAGCAAGTTATACTCCTCAGGTGGCCCGCGATATCCAAGTCCGAGGCCCCATCGCTTTCAGCGCCGCAAGCCCTCTTGTAAAAACCACGAATTATATGACTCTACGGAAGAAAGATCGACATAACCCCCGCGCTGCGTCATCGCTACTCGCGAAAAACAGTTCATTAATCTCACTTTTTGGATCCGCGCAGTTTGATACAAATGTGACCTTTGGAGATCAGACCTTTGAACTCCTCGTCGATACTGGAAGCTCTGATACTTGGGTCATACACTCCGACTTCACGTGCGTCAACCAAACAACATCCGCTCTCTTGACGCAAGCAGCTTGTGCCTTTGGTCCAGCCTATACTAAGACGCCTGAGTTTGTCCAGATTCCTGAGGAAAACTTCAATATTACGTATGGTGATGGCGAGTTTCTCACCGGGATCTTAGGCTATGAGAACCTGACTCTCGCTGGGATCACTGTGAATACTACAATCCCAATCGTGGATTTCGCTGCTTGGGACGGAGATGGCACATCGAGTGGTCTTCTTGGTCTTGGGTATCCTAATGTGTAAGTCACGCTCTTTATACTTAGAGCAGAAGAAGCAAACAGAAACTAACTTGGGCAGAACACGTGCATATGTAGGGACAGACCCCCACAATGATAGTGTTCATGCTTTTTACGACCCCATTTTCACCACTATGTATAAACAGGGCCTCGTTGCCCCCATGTTCAGTCTTGCCATCGAGCGTGATCTTTCTGGTCCCGCCGGGTATCTGGCGCTCGGAGGCCTCCCTCCAGTGGATTTTGTGGAAGAATTCACCAGCACTCCAATCGTTATTACTCGCCTGGCAAACACCCAGAAGTATCCCGTCGGTTATGATTTCTACTCCATCAATATGGATGCCGTCGTGCTGGACAATGTTTCACTCCCGTCAGCCGCCAATGGTACTGCATACTCGTATCTTGTCGACTCAGGTACTACCCTGAATTACTTCCCCACAGAATTGGCGGACGCTGTTGCGGCCGCATATGATCCTCCTGCCACTCATCAGCCTGACGATGATGGGACATACTACGTTGACTGCAACGCCACGGCTCCTGGACTAGGGCTGACAATTGGAGGGACTACATTCTGGACGAATCCGATCGACATGATCCAAGTTTCTGGAACGGATGATGATGGCAATGATATATGCGTTTCGGGTATCTATAATGAAGGGTCCGATCCAACGACAGATAAATATGTTCTTGGCTGCACGTTTTTCAAGAATGTAGTTGCCGTATTTGATGTCGGAGCCGTAGAGATGAGATTTGCTGCAAGAGAATATTATGATAGTAATAATTTCGGGACATAATATAAACTATATTCCCGAGACTCTATATAAGCTCAATATTCGAATCAGCTTTGACGCGCACAGTCTTTCATCCGCGATGTAGACAGCAAAGTTGAACCCTTGATTCTAAGAATACCCTTTCGCTGCTCTATAGGCATTCGAACAAGTAGACGCACGCCGCGTTGGGGATAGGACGGGCTAAAGATCGGGCGTCAGCGCGCTCGCCCATGAAGAGAGAAAGAAAAATAGCCAAGACGTGAAGGTGTGATATATTATGTGTGCCATGGCCGGGCTGAGGGTGGTCTCTAGTCGCATAAGGGACGAAGTGAAAGGCGCAGTCCTCGCTTACGCAAGCCAATCAGCGGCGGAGAATATCGACTCGGCGGGAGTCAATCGGGTTGGCAGTGCAGTAACAAGAAGCCCTCACCTCACATTTGCAGCATTAGGGTTTCACAGCTCCTCAATACTGCTTACGCTTTACAACAAAGTCCAGAGTACTTTCCCCGGCTTTTGATTATCGTAGCGTGGGAATTCTAGAGGGCCTGACTGTCTAGATCGACTTTTCGATACTCGTTTGAAAGACTCTCTCGATAATGCTGACGGTCTTTAACTTATATATATGAGGCTATCACACCTCGAGGCTACATTGATTGCGCTCTTAAGTAGGCCACGATGCTACATCGATATGAGTGGAAGCGGTAGTTTTCAAGAGAGAAGGGTACATTTATTAGATATCATATTTAGCCGCTATGAATGGCTTTGCCCCTATGCCAGCAGAGAGCATGTTTCATGAGTTGAGATACAGTATACTGTACATACCAACCTGACCCCTTCCAAAACGCTAAGGCAAAATCACCACTCCAGGACCTCTATAGCAACAGTATTTCTCTTCCTGTCAAATATACCCTCGTCTATCTTAATAAAATTCACCTCTACCTTCCGCTCCCCCAACCAAAGCCTCACATTGACGCCCGATATTCTGATCCCCCCACTCTCTTCAATCTCCATAATCCTCTGTGCTGCCATAGCCATAAGGCGAGAATTCCAAATCCCCTCCTGTCGGTCGTTATTTCTGAGCAGGGCGATGCCGCGGCGCCGGAGGATTGGACAGCGGCATTTGGTGGCGAGGAAAAAGAGCGGGGTGAGGGCACTGCCGTCGAGCGTGAAAAGACGTTTGGGCTTTGAGTCCCGCGTTGTCAAGAGAGCCTCGGCATGCTTCATGATAGTCTCGAACTGGGGCTTGAAATTATCCCATTGTTCTTCGTTTGAGAGCTGGGAGGTGTCGATGCTGAGACACATGAAGGTAAAGGTGCGCTTGATCTTCAGTGCATGGATTGCATCCTCATTGTACGGCGAGATGTCTAAGCGCGCAAAGGCTTGGTCCCAGAGTTTTAGGCGGAGGAGAGCGGAGCTGGCGATGAGGGATAAACTGAGTGTTAATTGGGGACCGAATGGGGCGAGTTTGAGGAGGGTGATGTCGGGACCGGTCATGGCTTGTACGGCGTATATTATGGAGGTGCCGATGTCGCTTAGCGCAGCGACTGCCTCGTCTAGGCTTGTAAAGTCGGTCGGTAATTGTAAGGATGGTGGTGATGTGATAGTAGAGGTGTTGGAACTATTCATGATCGGATACAGAAATGGATCCATTAGGCGTCGAGGTCGATCGTATGTGATTTGGCTGGCTTGTAGGTCCAGGCGAGAAAAGATCAGATGGAGGGTCGACACAGGGACGTATGGTGTAGATGATTCCGTCAAGGCTGATTGGTTATTCGAGCCGGACGGGCTGCCCCCATCTTGATGCTCTCTTAAAATCTTCGCTCCACCATCAATATGAGATAGTGCAGAAACGTGATTGCCGCGGAGGATCTGTCAAGAGTGAGTAGAGTTCATCTTTCCGCGGGTTATAAAGCTCGATATCCCACATTTAGAATGGGAAATTCTCACCTCGAAGCAAACAAACAACACGCAGGTAATCAGGGCAACGTCCACACTTAACCCATTCCGTTTCTTCGACTCAGGCTTGACCATGAGCTCAAGAGCTCGTATGTACTGACTGACGGCAAACTCTTTATCCCCGCTATCAAACCCGTCTTTCTCGAAAGTCTCATGCAGCGCACCTAAAGCAATGATAGCATGCTTCACCACGGGTTCGTGATGAGCAGTCCGCAATAATAAAGTCTTCCAAAACTCGTCCGTGAGAGCTTCCGGGGCACAGAGATGTGGGGCGGTGAATTCCAAAAAGAAGTTAAAACTTCGCCTCTGCCGAGCTGTACCTTCTAAGTGTAAAGAGATGGAAGAGACTGGGGATGAGGTTTGTGGACTTGAGACTGAGACTAGCGTGTCTGATTTCGGCGATGTCGCACCCTCTGGCTGTATGTTGGAATAGCCATCACATCTCCAGCCACTGCGTATGCAGTGATAGCACGATGGCTTTTGCTCGTCACATTTTATTCGCCTCTTCCTATATATGGCTTTATTAGACAAGACGGATACAGGGAGAGTTATAGGAGTGGGGAGGTAGCCAAGCACCTGCAAATTCCACATCCGGTCCTAGTCTTCGGCTTGAAGACTCTTTTGGGTTTGCATATCTGGGCTAGAGCATTCGTGGCCATGCTTATGCTAGGGTGTACATATACACATACATATAATAGGCCTACTAAATCAAAATTCTGAAAAGCATCTGCGTATCAATTACCTCCTCCAAAGGGGCCGTGATGAAGTTGCCAAGATATGACGCAAGAGAAGCAGCTACTCTATCGACCGGATTCCATACGAACGCATGAGTACTTAGGATTCAGGAATATGAGGGGGTTAAAATTATCGAGTTGTGCTTTCTGTTGTGTTGAACTCTGACTGATGTTGTAATTTAGGTGGCAGCCTCAATCGCGCCACAAACGTTATGAACCCTACCCGAGTAAGAATGAACGAAGTAGCCAATCGGAAAGCATCTTGTACGCATATACACATGGTATGTCTACATAAGGCTAGACTCAGCCCTGCAAAAGAACTGAGACGTCAAAATAAAGATAACTTCATATACGGAGTATACGGCAAGTCCCCGAAGAAATACAAAATGAAGGGTTATGAATATATAGAATGGCGGCTCGCAAAGAATTCGAGCCTCCACCAGAACACACAAAACTGCCACTGCAATGTTGGCCAGGCATCAGGTTCAGACTCCAGCTCAAATCGTAGACCCATGGTGAAGGACTGCACTTCTCATTCAAAGCTGCATACTCTGGCGATTCTAATACGGCATTTGCAATGGAGAAGAGCCAGGAAGACGCGTGATATTACCGTATTTGTAGTAACTGAAAAGGGCACTAGGATAATAGCCGACTAGCGAAGGAATGATATCGAATATACAATACATCTCATGCGATACCTAAGTACTCCATTTCGGGATGAGCCCCCCTTATGAAATCTGCTCTGGAATTAGTCTCTAGACATCTCCGTACGTCTCTGGGAATGGCTATCGAACAGCCTATTCGTCCGCCCCTGACTAGACAAATCTCAAACCAGCCTATAGCGGCCGGCGAGTGTGTTCCCACTATTTCCGTAACTGTCTTCACGCACGAGAGCATAATAGCATTGGCGCACATGAAGTTACCAGAATTTCCAGCTGCTTTTCTTCGCCTCAGCCTTGTTATCCGCCTCCTCCTTCAGCCGCCTTCTTTCCTCCCTCTTCGCCTTAGCTTCAGCTTCCTTCTCCGCTTTCTTCCGATCAATGATCTCGACCGCTCGTTTCATATGCGATTTCTCCAGCATGCGTTTATACTGACAATACTCGTAGTTGGCGAGAGCAGCGAAAGCGAAAGTGCCGACGGCCCAATTTGCTGCTTTTGGTATTGGTGCTGAATTGTACAGTGTGTTAGCTGGTATTCTTCCCATAGAATGGAAACATCGTGCGATGAATAGGTGCAGCAAATACATACTTCCCCATACAACTCTGAGAGCACCCACACCAAATCCACCCCCAATGCCGGTAAGTAGCGATTCTCGTACACATGGATACATATAAACCTGCTTGAAATCCTGTATCCGAACCGTCTTGACCGCGTCTGTCAGGTTTGGGTTCTGTGGCCGTCCGGCTGTGTTTTGGCCTGAGCCCTCCGGCAAGGAGTTCGCATTTGCCGGGAACACTTCGTAGATTTTGGCATTTTTGACATGTTCGGGAGGCTCGGTGGCTCCTGGTGGTGGGCCACGAGGTGGAGGAGAAGATGAATCCCGAGTATCGCCTGCCATTATGCTTGTGGAAGGATTATGAGGTTGGAGGCTTGCCGTCGGATGATTCTTTAGAATATGCACATATAGCATTTCATGGCTGCCGGAGCGGAGTGGAGGAGCGAAGCTCTCTACGCGACAAGTCGCGTCGAGAAGCGCGTACCGCGATTTATGTACTTCCCAAACCTCCTTATGCAAACCCCAAATCAGACACCTGAACACCTCAATTCTCCTTCTATATCAGTGTCTCGAGTCACATTGATTTAGCATCGATTTCGAAGTGAAACACCAGCAATTCTTTGACTAGACTTGCCCACCACTTCAACACCATCCCAGCGCGTACACCTCCTTTCTCGAGGCTCTCCAGCCTGCCACAACCACAATGCCAGGCCCACGCATGCCCAAAAATGGCTACCGACGTGGAGGTAAACAAGCATACAACGGCCCCCGCAAAGCGAAGACCTTTGCGCCTTCGAACCGCAATGAAGCCACGTCGACCGACGAGAAGCGCGAAGCCGCCAGTCTCGCAAACTCTATAGATGAAGCGATGGGCTTTGCGCGCTACGAGTCTGGCAAGAAGAAAGTAGGATGGTTATGCAATCTCAAGCCTACGACTTTAGAAGACGACAAGATACCTGAAGGCCGCGCGGGACTGGATTGTTATTTCATTGAGGAGGATGGGAGTACATTCAAGGCGACGCTGGAATATGATCCGTATTTCTTGGTTGCTGTAAAAAGGGGCCACGAGGCGGAAGCAGAAGAATGGCTGAAAAGAGCTCCTGGTGGTGGTGTGGTGAAGAGTTTGCGAAAAGTCGAGAAGGAGGATTTGCAGATGCCAAATCACTTACTGGGCTACAGGAGGACATTCTTTGAGTTGAAGTTTGCGAATGTCAATGATTTGTTGGCTGCGAGAAGGGATATAATGCCCATTGCAGAGAAGAATAAAAAGAATATGAATGCGATGGATACATATGCGGAGGTTGCCAGGTATGTTTTTAGTACGAGGTGATTGGTGGGATGCTAATTGTTCGCAGTGCAAATGCTGGATTTGACCTTTTTGACGACGACCGAGATGACGATAGACGACTTAATGCCTCTGTTGCTGATGCGAGCGATTTCATTGTGGATATACGGGAATGGGACGTACCATATCATGTGCGAGTAATGATAGACATGGGTGAGGCGATCCCTTCATAACCTATAGGGTCATACTGATAGCAGCAGATATACGGACGGGGAAATGGTACACGGTTGAGGCGAAACACGGCGTTACGAATATGACATGCATCGAGGAGCGATTGCAACGAGCGGATCCTGTGGTAATGGCATACGATATTGAGACTACGAAATTACCCCTCAAGTTTCCAGATGCCGCCATTGATCAGGTTATGATGATTTCGTATATGATTGACGGCCAGGGATTTTTGATTACGAATCGGGAAATCGTTTCAGAGGATATTGAGGATTTCGAATATACCCCAAGACCGGAATATGATGGTCCTTTTATGATATTCAATGAACCAGATGAGAAGGCTCTCATTGAACGATTCTTTCTACATATCAAAGAGGCGCGGCCGACGGTAATAGCAACTTACAACGGAGACTTCTTCGATTGGCCATTTGTAGATGCTCGAGCGAGTGTCAATGGCATTGATATGTACCAAGAGATTGGCTGGAGGAAAGGCGCTGACGACCAATATTGTTGTGACTACAGCGCCCATATGGACTGTTTTCACTGGGTCAATCGAGATAGTTATTTGCCGCAAGGAAGTCGAGGCTTGAAAGCTGTCACAACTGCAAAACTTGGATACGACCCCGACGAACTGGATCCGGAATTGATGCTGAAGTATGCAAGTGAGCGACCTCAGGTCCTTGCAGAATACTCAGTATCCGATGCCGTGGCGACATATTATTTGTATATGAAATATGTGCACCCTTTCATCTTCTCGTTATGCACAATCGTCCCGCTGGGTCCGGATGCTGTTTTACGAAAAGGAACTGGAACACTTTGTGAAATGTTACTCATGGTGCAGGCTTACCAGAAAGAAATCGTGCTGCCAAATAAACATGTCTCGCCCAAAGAATCTTTCTGGGAAGGACATCTCTTGGAGTCAGAAACATACGTTGGTGGCCACGTTGAAAGTATCGAAGCTGGAGTTTTCCGGGCGGATATTCCTGTGAACTTTGCAGTGGACACGACAGCGATTGATGAACTTCTTGAAGATTTGGACGCTGCCTTAAAATTTAGCATTACTGTCGAAGAGAAGAAATCCCTGGACGACGTCACCAATTATGACGAAGTGAAGCAACAGATCACCGACCGATTGAACAGTCTCAAGACGACAGCAAATAGAAGTGAACGACCCCTGATTTATCATTTGGATGTCGCTTCCATGTATCCCAACATTATGACTACGAATCGTCTGCAGCCGGATTCCATGATTGAGGAAGCAGATTGTGCAGCTTGCGACTTCAATCGACCTGGAAAGACTTGTGATCGGCGAATGCCCTGGGCATGGAGAGGAGAGTATCTCCCTGCAAAACGGGACGAATACCTAATGATCCGGAATTCCCTCGAGAATGAAAGATTCCCCGGGAAGTGGCCGACAAGCCCCCCACGGAGCTTCCAGGACTTAACGGCAGATGAGCAATCTATACTGATTCGAAAGCGGTTGCAAATATACAGTCAGAAGATTTATCATAAAATCCACGACTCGAAGATTATCGAGAGAGAAGCCATTATATGCCAACGCGAGAATCCTTTCTACATCGATACCGTCAAAGATTTCCGAGATCGGCGGTATGATTACAAGGGGAAACAAAAGGTTTGGAAGGGGAAAACGGAGGAGCTCAAGGCGTCGGGTGCTTCTGCTGCAGAGATTGACAACGGAAACAAGATGATAATCCTCTTTGACTCGTTACAGCTAGCCCACAAGGTCATTCTCAACTCATTTTACGGATACGTCATGCGAAAGGGATCGCGTTGGTATTCTATGGAAATGGCTGGTGTCACTTGTTTAACGGGGGCTCATATTATTCAAATGGCCCGGCAGCTCGTCGAGCGAATCGGCCGTCCTTTGGAGCTTGACACTGACGGAATTTGGTGTATGCTGCCAGCGACATTTCCTGAAAATTATGCCTTCAAGCTCAAGAACGGGAAGAAGGTTGCGATCTCATACCCCTGTGTGATGTTGAATCATCTCGTTCACGCCAAGTTCACGAATCACCAATACCAGGACCTTGTGGATCCCAAGACTTTCAAGTATGAGACTCACAGCGACAATTCTATTTTCTTCGAGGTTGACGGTCCGTACAAGGCCATGGTACTGCCAACTTCCAAAGAAGAGGACAAGAATTTGAAGAAGCGGTATGCTGTATTCAATGACGATGGCAGTTTGGCCGAGCTGAAGGGTTTCGAGGTGAAGCGACGAGGAGAGCTGAAGCTCATCAAGATTTTCCAGACGCAAATCTTCAAATTCTTCTTGGAGGGCACAACTTTGGAAGAAACGTATGCTGCTGTGGCAAAGGTTGCAAACCAGTGGCTGGATGTATTGCATTCCAAAGGAGAAACTCTCGCGGATGAGGAGCTGATTGATCTCATTTGCGAGAACAGGAGTATGTCCAAGACTCTAGAGGAGTATGGAACCCAAAAGTCGACTTCTATTACTACCGCCAAACGTTTGGCGGATTTCTTAGGGGAGCAAATGGTGAAGGACAAGGGCTTGAACTGCAAATACATCATCTGTGCAAAACCCAAGGGTGCCCCCGTCACCGAGCGAGCTATTCCTGTGGCTATTTTCTCTGCCGAGACCTCCGTCAAACGATACTTCCTGCGGAAATGGCTTAAGGAAGATCCTACAAATATGGACCCCAGAGCGCTGCTTGACTGGGGGTATTATCTCGAACGTTTAGGCTCAGTTATCCAGAAACTTATCACCATCCCAGCTGCATTGCAGAAAGTTCGCAACCCTGTACCGAGAGTAGCACATCCGGAGTGGCTGCAAAGAAGGATCTATGTCAAGGAAGATAAAATGAAGCAGAAGAAGATGACAGATCTGTTTAAGTCGGCGCCACTGGAGGAGATCACTAACCTGCAAGATCCACGCATGGCAGACATGGAAGACTTCGGAGCAAAGCTGTTGAAGCCGAAAGCCCTCGGAACAGCCCTCTCTCAAGCAACACAGAAAATACAGAAGCGGAAATCGCCTGAACCTGAAGTTCCTGTCAGCGTGGACCCTTACGCTGCGCTTCCGAAAGTCATGCCCGACCCGACCAAGGACTATCGGGGGTTTCTCGTCTACCAGAAACAGAAGTGGAAGATCCAAAAACAAGCACGTATCAGACGACGCCATTTGTTTGGTGAAACTCGCGTCAGTAATAATAACAACATTGGAAACATGGTCCGCCAGCAAGCCGAAACGACGTTCATAGGCACATGGCAAGTCTTGCAGATGCGGGGGACTGAGTCGCCGGGTGTTGTGTTGGCGTTTGTTCTCATTGACTCGAAAGTTCATACTCTGAAAGTCAGGGTGCCTCGAACTGTCTTTCTGAACTTAAAGGGGAAAGAGCTTCCTGATATTGAGGTTGAGGGATGTGAGGCGCAGAAGGTCAACCATACTCTGCCCAATGGACATCCTTCTGTTCATCTTTTCAAGCTTACGATGTCTGAGGAGGTGTATGTCAATGACGCGCAAAAACTCTCATTGCTTTTCAATCACCCGAGTGTAGAGGGCGTGTATGAGAAGCAAGTGCCGCTTAATGTTCGAGCGGTCTTGCGGCTTGGAAGCCTGTGTACCTTTGACGAGACCCAGCAAGGTGTTTTGGGTAAGGGTCTGGAATCAGGATTCGACCTGTCGGGTCTTCGACAAGCAACGGCCAAAAAGCCATACCTGACAGATTCGCCCATGGCATACTTGTATCTATACCACGTCGTAGCAGGCGATCGCCAAGTCTTCGCCTTATTTTCGACGTCAAAAGAACAAGCTCATGTCATCACTCTGCAGAAGTCCAAAGACTCAAATCAAGATCTACCAAACATCGCCAAGATATACACAGACATGCTTGCCAGACGAGAACAGGAAGCTAATGGGGAGCCGTGGCAAAATTGCTTCGAATATCAAGAAAAGCTGCAGTTTAATGCAAAACAGGTGACAACGAGACGAAAAGCCCTGCTTGAAATTGGCGACCTAGTCAAGAAGATGCGCAATGAGGAGTCGAAACCACTTATGCTTGTCATCCAGTCTCCTTCGCGCCGCATGCTTATGCACGATGTTCCAATCCTGGGAGAACTGCCCATTTTGCCGCTGAAATATGAGATCACGGACAGCAATCTACCGCCTCTTGGATGGCAAGCGTTTGTTGCCAAAAGACTTGTAAATCATTACCTGAGTCTCGGGTCGTGGATCCTGCATCTCACAGAATTGGCCAGATATGGAGATGTTCCGCTTTGCAATCTCGAGAGAGATGACCCTCGTTACCTGATTGATATTGCCTACGCAAGACGGTTGCAAAAGAACAATGTCGTGCTTTGGTGGTCGGGAGGTCCAAGACCAGATCATGCTGGATATGAGCAAGACGATGTTCTCGGGCCTCTGGATACCGTTCAAATGCCGTCTGTCAATAATCCGGGCACATATCCATCGGTCTGCATTGAGCTTGACGTCCGAAATTTGGCCATCAACACAATCTTAACTTCGTCCCTTATCAACGAGCTTGAGGGTAGTGATTCGGTTTCGTTCAATCCTGCGGCACCATCTGACGACGGTCCCAGTGATGGGACTAATGTCCTGTACGCTGATAATGCGTTTGCCTCTGCTGGTGTAACCGTGCTCCGAGAGATGGTCAAAGCCTGGTGGACAGAAGCCTGCAAAGGAAGCAACATGGCTGATATTATGGTCCAGCATCTCGTCCGATGGGTTGAGAATCCTGATTCGTTCCTGTACGATCGATCATTGCACTACTATGTGCAGATGATGTCTCGAAAAGCTTTCCTACAGCTGATGACGGACTTCAGAAGAGTTGGCTCTCATGTTGTCTTTGCCAACTCAAATCGACTCCTGCTTCAAACCACCAAATCAGAGGTCGGCAACGCCTACGCATACAGTCAATACATTCTCAAATCCATCAAAGCGAAGCCACTCTTCCACTTTTTGGACCTCGAGATCAAAGAATACTGGGACTACCTCGTTTGGTACGACGAATTCAACTATGGCGGGAAAGCATGTCAAGAAGTCGTGGAAGCAGAGAACCAAACCCTAGACTGCGTGATGCACTGGCAACTCAACAAATTCCTCCCAATAGCCCTCCAGCCCATCTTTCACGACTGGGTGGTCGAATTCATTGAAATAATGCACAAGCTCAAACGACCCGCCCTTGTCGACGGCACACCGCGACCAACCCAGCTCGCAGTCCGCGCCCTTGGCGACGACAAAGAAGACAAAATCAAACTCGGGAAAGAATTCGAGAAGCCATTAAAACGCCAAATAGCAGGCCTCATCCGCCGCCAAAAAGACGAAATGCTCCACCCGGAACTAGCATCCGACTATACCTTCCCCTCCCTCCCCGGCTCGCACATTAAATTCACCAACCCCGTCCTCCAACTCGTCAAAGCCCTCATGCAAGTGCTATCCCTCGACAAAAACATCACACTCGAAGCGCGTCTCCTACGCAAAGAACTCCTCGCGCTCTTCGAAGTCCGAGAATTCAGCAAGGAAGCGAAATTCTTGAACCCGAGCGAGAGCCTCAAGATGCAGCAGGTTATTTGTGAAAACTGCACGATGGCGCGGGATTTGGATTTCTGTAGGGACGAAGATCTCATTCCTGATGATGCGACGAGTGGGAACAGCGGCAGGCCGTGGAAATGTGGCTTTTGTGAGGCCGAGTATAATAGGCTGGATGTGGAGGAACGGCTGATTGCTGGTGTGGAAGGCATGGTGTGTGAATGGGCGACGCAGGATCTGAAATGTGGCAAGTGTAAGACGGTGCGTGTTAATGATTTCATGGAGCATTGTGCTTGTAGTGGGGAGTGGGTCGGTGTTTTGGCACGGGAGGAGATGGGGAGGAAGCTGAAGGTTTATAGGGGTGTTGCGCGGTTCTATGGGTTGAGGATGTTGGAGGATGTTGTGGAGGGGGTTTGGGGTGGGCTGTAGATAGGTGTTTGGATGGGCAGGTATGCATGCATGCATTGTTGGAGTTTTGGAAAGGCGTTGGGGTAGCGTAGGGATGACAATTTACAGTTTTATTGGAGGCTTGGTGCCATTCAGCTTTATGATACAACGAAACTCGGTCGCTACAGCTGGGTAGCGATAGCGGCGGGTAGTTTGCTGAGTCAGCAGAATGTTTTCCCAACCCTCAAAACAGTACCCTACCCTACCACCTATAGCACCTATATCTACTTCACAACGGTAGACTTGATTCAGCTTTATAAAATGCACACAATGGGAATTTCTCATTACTATATCAACGAGCACACCATCTGGATATCTTACGATTTGGCATTTGTCAAAATATTGTAAGGCTTATGAAAATGGTAAAATACGCACTTTGTGCATAGTATTGCGCAATGACGGAATCCACCCAACACGGGGATCTGCGCGAGGGGGTCATGCAAGATAACAGCAATGTGAGGCGATCTCTTTGTTGCATGCGATGAGTCTCTTCTCTCTTCCGAGCAAATGGTACGCGGCCGCGGGATGGTTACTGGATAACAAAGTGACGTGCTTGCTAGTAGTAATGAGGGCATATTCGCCTCCTACTTGCTCAAATACTGTGGTGCAGCCGCAGTTGTTTCGCTTTTACCCTCAAATTACATTCCCGTTACAGTCCGGAGAAGCGACAATACCTATCGCATACATTCGTCATGGGACAAGCGGAAGAGGACATTGGTCCATACAGGAGGGACGACGAGGCTGCACTTGGCCATAGTGGCTCCCACTCCCAAGACACTCTGGTCGTGAAGCCTATCAAAACATGGAAGGGATACATCTGGGACACATGGGAGCTTCCCAAGGATCAGCGCTGGCTCTTGTTTAAAGTGGACGCCTTCGTGCTTACCTTTGCCTCGATCGGCTACTTTCTCAAGAACCTCGATTTGTACAACGTCAACAATGCCTTTCTCAGTGGCATGGAAGAGGACTTGTCAATGTATGGCAACCAGCTCGTCACGAGTACCTCTGTTTTCACAGTCGGCTATGTCATTGGACAAATACCGTCGAATTTGCTATTGACGCGAGTTTCGCCGCGATGGGTTATACCAGCAGTATGTCTATCTTGTTTCTGCTGTTCATCATACTTCAAATCCAGCTAACGTTGAAGCCTTAGCTCGAGGTGGGATGGGGAATTTCGACTATGTGCACGTCTGCTGTGAAGTCGTATAAGGCTCTTTACGCGCTACGATTCCTCGTAGGTCTCTTCGAGTAAGATTCTCTCATGATTCTGAAATACTTAGCCCTGACTCTTGCTCTAGATCTGGGTTTTACCCCGGAATTCACTACCTTCTTGGGTCATGGTACACCCCCCGAGAGATTGGCAAGCGGGCAATGGTATTTTGGCTAGCTGGCTCCATCGGGCAGCTATTCAGCGGCTTCCTGCAGGCCGCGGCTTATACGAATCTAGACGGCGTGGCCGGCCGTGCTGGCTGGCGATGGCTGTTTATTATAGATGGCATTATCACCCTGCCTCTAGCCTTGGCTGGTTTCTTGTTCTTCCCTAACCTTCCACAGTCGGGCAAGAAGACGTGGTGGACGACAGAAGAAGAGCATATCCTCTCGGTCAAGCGGATGCAAGCTGTTGGGCGTGCTGGACCGGAAGCCTGGACGTGGGCTAAGGTCAGAAGGATCTTGCTAAGCTGGCAAACTTACCTTCTTCCTTTACTGTATGTGCTCTGGAACAACGGAATCCCGCAAGTCGGTATGGGATACTGGCTGAAGAGCTTTAATAAGAAGCCCCCTCCTGTCCCCGGCACCCATTTCACAGTCCCGCAGATTAATGGCATTCCTCTAACTACGACCGGCGTCTTTATCGTTATGGCTTTCGTCTGGGGTTGGCTTTCTGATGGGCCGTGTCGGGGGGCGCGTTGGCCTTTCATCTATCTAGGCGCGGTCATCACGGCAAGTTTTGAAACCATCACAATTTCACGAATAATACTAATAGTACTCCTACCCACAGCTTCTTTTCAGCATTCTTATGCGCCAAATGCCATTGTACGAAAATCTCTATGGTCGTAAAGTTGTCTATTGGCTCAGTCAGATTGGTGTCAGTATACCTTCCTTGCTTCCCCAAAAATACTCGCTCGAGTAACAAATGCTAACCTGGATTCAAGAATGGTGCAGGCCCACTTATCTTGAGCTGGATAAACGAGATCTGTTCGGGAGACACGGAGAAGAGAGCATTACTTGTTGCAGTAGGCAATGATTTTGCATACGTCGTTCAGGCAGTTGTAAGTTTGTTCCTCGTCTTCCACGCTATCTACATATGACGTAAGATTAACTGACACAACTCACCTGTGCAGGCACCCAACTTCGTATGGAAGACGACGGATTTCCCGGCCGCTAAAAAAGGATACCTCTGGTCCATCGTTCTGCAAGTTCTGCTCAGTAAGTTTACCCACTCATCTAACGTCATCGAAAACACTCTGGGCGTACATACTAACGAGTCACAGTTGTCGTCACTGCCTTGATTCAGCTTCTTCTATGGCGCGATAGGCGAGCGGCGGCCAGAGAGGAGGCCGAGGCATCGTCGCCGGTGTCTAGTGATAATATCGGTCCGCCGCTGCAAGAAAGTGATGTCGATGAGAAGAAGGCTCTTCGCGTTGCTGAAGTTCCGCTGTGAGAATGGACTAGTTGTACGAGTCACGAGCACCATTTGGATATTTAGCATACCTAGCAGCTTACCCCTTACTCTATACTTGGTAATAAACATAAGCCGAGTTACCCTTACCCGCCGAGACATATTTGACGTACATTTCAGTCGAGACACATGACTTTCCACTTTTAAACGCTGCAGAAACATGGCCCAAATGTCTATTTGCCACTTCATACCTTGCTATTACACATAGATCGAGGACTGCAATGCTACGCACTTGCTTCAACGGATTATCTTATACTACCTATCACAGGGCTATTCGATTCGACAACCTTCATTCAGTGGTCCACAATTCGCGCTCGCTTAATTCAGGGGCAAAGGCGCTAAGCAATAGCGAGCTGTTAGTACGTCGGTGTTTTAGTGGAGCGCTTCCCCGTTTGTTGATTCGGGTATATAACAAGTGTATACCGTCTATGTAGATATATGTTTCCATGTTGCGATGTGCAGGATACGATGTGCGCTAAGCCCAATCAGGTCCTCTCCATGATCACTAAGCATAATCCAGACTATCACATATATCCCACTCCATAGTTTCGTTCTTACCTTCTTACTTCAGCCTAATAGCAATAGAGCGGATTGCATATACAATTACATCTGCTATGTTCTTTACTAGTGCTCCTCTATTGCGCAAGCCTCTAATATCCTAGCACCAGGCTATCGAAGAGCGATATACTGCTGTCGATGTTCCTCGGTCCACAACGACAATGTCCATACAATATCAACTCGTATACAAAGTGATGCATAGTGCTTTCTACATTGCGTGACAAACCAATCTTCCAGCCCTTGTATGGGTGCTTTCTTAGCCCAAAATGTTCGAAGATTTGAATTTGTGCATGGGAGCAGTCTGCTGGATGCTTACAGCCGAAACCATGTCCACAGATTTAGTACTTGTCATCGATGAGCTGGTCGTGCCCAACAAGGGCGCTCATACGCGTGCAACTCAGTTCGATTTGACCATGCTTGCAACTCTCATCAGTAGAACGTACAGACAAACAGTAGAGTTCTCTACTAGATTTTGCGGCTTTCAAGATTCTGGAGAAGAAGGCATGCTCCTACTAGCGAGAGCGTTATTGTTGTTGTGCTGAAAGCCTAACCACCAAATACCCAAAGCACCAAGACGCTGCGGAAATGTAGTAGCGGGAGATGAGTTTCTATATAGTCTAAGCTTTATCTTTCCTTCCAGTGGTTCGTTTCTATCCAGTCTGTTCCGTGTCTCTTCATATTCCGTTATGGAATGAACGTGGGGATATTAACGAGTAGGCTTTAAAGTCTTGAAATTTATATGCATGTCTATCAAATCAATGGGGAGCCTTAAGCTATCAATTACCATCCGAGAGATGAGTAAGATTATAAAATCGTCTACCACGGAGCTTGCGGAGCAAGTATTTCAAGTAATAGACTATTACCTAAGAGGGAGAGCCATAAATGAAGATGGTTGTGTCACGGGGCGAATGCTAAGTATATAGAGCAAAAGCCTGAATTTGATATAAGAAGAATTAACTAAGAAGAGAAGAGAAGCTTCTCTTATTAGAACTATTAAAAGAGGTTCTCTAGCTTCTAGAGGAAGCAAGATTACTATCATGTTATATATATAAAGTTATATACGCAGGTACTATATACTAAGCCTTAATATTAAGTGTAACCTATTATATTACCCCTCTTCTTACTTTAAGTAGAGGGTCTTCTATAGCACTTATCCTATTCTCCTAGTTATCTAGCGTCTAGCAGTCTCTAATTATATCCTCCGGCTCCTATATAGGTCTAGTATAGCCGGTCTACTTTATAAGAAACCTTTATTATTAGCTCTTACCTTATTATATAACCTTTTCTTTTAGGATCTCTTTGTAAAAAGCGAGCCCTAGAAGTAAAGCACAGGCTATGCCTATGCTTAGCTTACTAAGCCTTAACCAGGGAGCGCTTACTTTTCTTTGGATTCAGATAAAGATTTTTCTCTCTCTTTTATTAAACTTATTAAATACTATATTAAGCCTTTATATATATATAACTTATCTATAATATTAAGTTTAATTATTTATAGATTTATAGCTATCTATTAGCTTTATACTAGACCTTAAGTTAATACTATTAAGAAATAAAAGCCCTTAGCATAATATATTAAACGCCTAACTACTAGCTACCTTCTAAGAAATATATATGCGCTAATAATAGCTAGAAACTGAATTATTAGAAACGTATGCCACTATAAATAACTAGGAGATAAGAGAAGCTTAGTAGAGCTTATTAGAGGATGCACTAGTCTAGAATAACTTTATAAGAGCTTTAATTAAATTGCTCTTAGTAATAACTTAAGTGAGGACTAACTATAAACTATTAGGCTTTAGGGATTAGAAGCTGCTAATATAAAATAGCTGAATAAAAGCCTTTTAAGATTACTTTTTAAGGCTTAGAAGCTTATATTATATTTATTCTAGAGTAAAACTAATACTTTTAGCTAAGTATTACTAGAATACTATCTATAACACTCTTTTAGTATAAGAGAGAGCTTAAATGTATTACTTTTAAAAAAAGGAGAAC